GTTCTAATTTAAAAGATCAAAAAGGAAAGACTTAAAATTCTGTAAAGAACCCTTTTCTTTCTTCTTAGGTTTAATCTCAGAAATGTTACTTTTTAAAAATTTCAGTACACAGTGCTTCCTGAAAGCCTGAATTTGTCCTTTGATTAAAAGTAGTTGGTCACAAAATTTGTCATTCTGTGGCGTGCCTGGGTGGCTCAGTTGGTTATATGTCCGACTCTTGATCTCAGCTCAGGTCTTGATCTCAGGGTTGTGAGGTCAAGCCCTGCGTTGGGCTCCATGCTGGCCATGGAGCCTACTTTAAAAAAAATATTTTTTCATTCTTTTATAAAACTTTATGAGTGTTTTTGGTTTGCTTGTTTTTAACTAAAAGTAGTTTTCAAAGCAGACCCTTTGCTTTGGATTAGTGACTGTATCAATATTAAATTGGTTTGAATAAAGGTTTTGGGGATTTGCAGCAGAAGGAATGTTGTATTAATGTAAATTTACTGAAGTTGGGCTGCTCTTAGGAAACACAGAGCTGTTTATATTCTACTAATAAAATAAAAATTTGGGGTAGGTTGAATTTTCATTTGGTGAAAATAGTAGGAAATTGCTATACCAAACCAATTTCCATCACAAATGTTTTTTTGTGGTGATTAGTGAAATAGCAGGGGATCAGAAGATCTAGATTTGAGTCCTAATTCTGCAGTTTACTCCAGAATGATCTTGGGCAGTTGCCCTTAGATCATTCTCTTCTCTAGTGGGCATGCATGCAATTGCACCCACTTCTGGAGCTTTAGTGTCCTTATCTGTAAAATGGGAAGCAGTGATCCTCTACCATACTGTATCATTGTATACACAGTGTCACCAATAGGAGCATGTCACTCATGCAGCCTTTGTGGAGGCAGAAGAAAGCTTGAGAAGCACTGCTGGTTGTTAGCATGAAAGCCTGTCCATTAATGGTGGGTTTTGTGTTTTTTGTTTGTTTGTTTTAGTGCATCTGTTTTGAAATTAGAGTTTGAATTGAACCTACTTTAAGAAGGCATCTGTAACTGTGTAATATATTAGTGGTCTTTTCCAGTAGATTGCTTAAAAAAAAAAAAAAGATTTGCCTTGCTAGAGAATTACTGTTTTGCCTTATTAACGGTGCTCACTGTTAGGCATAAGGTTGTTCTTCTAAGTGGTTTCTTACTTTGTAGCATATAGGTTGGATCACCTGTGGATAAGAAAAGAATTAGGGACTTACCTGAATCTCTTTTCCTACTCATTCTTGGAAACCGTTTCAGTCCTGGCAATGGCAAAGGTAGGTAGAACTGGAAACTCAGAAAAGACAGGAACTGAGGTGACTGGAATTAGTTGAAAATGTTTGTTTCTGGATAGATTATTATTTTTCCTATTGTTTTCTGCTAGTTTTTTTATTATTTATTTATTTATTTATTTATTTTTAAAGATTTAAAGAGCACACAAGAGGTAGAGAAGGGGGAGAGGGAAAGGGAAAGGGATAAGCAGATTGCTTGCTGAGCATGGAACCCGACAAAGGTCTCCATCTCAGGACCCTGAGATCATGACCTGAGCTGAAGTCAGATGCTTGAACGACTGAGCTACCTGCGTGCCCCTCTGCTAGCTTTTTAAAAAGGTGCTTTGGTGGGGTGCCTGGGTGGCTCAGTGGGTTAAGCCTCTGCCTTCAGCTCAGGTCATGATCTCAGGGTCCTGGGATCAAGCACCACATCGGGCTCTCTGCTCTGCAGGGAGCCTGCTTCCTCCTCTCTCTCTCTCTGCTTGCCTCTCTGCCTACTTGTGATTTCTCTCTGTCAAAAAAATAAATAAAATCTTTAAAAAAAAAAAAAAGTGCTTTGGTGTAACTGTCAGAATGAACCCAGATAATTCAAACAGAAGAAAGTTTTTTATTTTTCTCTATATCTTCCTTTTATTTTAAATTTGCATGCTCCTCCATTATAGATCGATCATGAAGATTTACTATTTTGATCAGTTTTTTTCTTTCTTTTTTTTTTTTTTTAAAGATTTATTTATTTATTTGACAAACAGATTACAAGTAGGCAGAGATGCAGGCAGAGAGAGAGGGGGAAGCAGGCTCCTTGCTGAGCAGAGAGCCCAGTGCAGGGCTTGATCCCAGGACCCTGGGATCATGACCTGAGCTGAAGGCAGAGGCTTTAACACACCCAGGTGCCCCAGTTTTTTTTTTATTTCTTAAGATTTTATTTATTTGAGAGAGAGAAAGACCATGAGGTGGGAGAAGTGGCAACAGGATGGGGAGAAGCATGGCTCTATCCCAGGACTCTGAGATCATGACCTGAGTCAAAGGCAGACACTTAACTGACTGAGCCACTCAGGTGCTCCTATTTTGATCAGTTTTTAAAGTCTAGTGTGTTAGATTCCTGGCAAAGAAAAACTAAACTTAGCTTTGAAACCAGACATCGGGGAGGTATTTTCCTTAAAGGATGGTCAGCTGCTCAATTTGTGAAGTGAGTTCAGACATCATTCCCCATGGGAGCCATCTAGCCAAAGTCTAGTTGTCCAGAGTCTGTTGTCTAGTTCTTTGTGATTGGAGCAAAAAGCTCTGTTGGGCACCCAGCTTATAGTGGTATTATTGGAAGGGTTGGGATTGTGAAGGCCTCACAGTTGTGTTTCTGATCAAATTCTACCTGCCTCTAAAGGTTCTGGGTTTTTAGAACCTTTGGAATATTTGCTCTTTCTGTTCATCATTGAGAAAGTGTTTAAATGGTTTTGGGAGCATTGAGGGAAATGTTGAAGTGGGTACTCCTTTATTCACAGGGAAATTTTGATCACCTGTGTAGAGTTCAGAACCAAACTTCCTCAGCAGATTGCCATGTCGGTTCTATCTTTTAGGCTTGGCTTGGTACACGTGGTCTTTCATCTGTGCTAGGGGCTACCTGTGAGATTTCCTGTGTCCTAATCTCATTAATCACCTTGCTTGGAAGCAGTTCTTCCCTGGATTAATTTGTGAAGTTGATTACCCTGTCTTGAACCTTTCTTGTCATCTGTAAGTTGCACTCCCAGTGATAATGTTATTTTGGCTTTGATTTTTTGAGGGGGGTAGGGCTGTCAAGAAGTGGGATTCCCTTGGAATAGCTTTTTGGGTGAATTACTGTTCTTGACATTTAGTTTTATTTTTGCCCCCTACTTTAATGTCTTAGGGCAAGAGAGTTCTCTGGTTTTAGTCTCATTTGTAAAGTGAGGATCACTTACAGACTATGACAGGAGGACAGCTATAGTTTTTTTGTTTGTTTGGTTGCGTGATTTTTTTTGTGGCCTGATAAGTAGCTAAATTCTCACATGGTATTTATGCTCTGATCAGATTCCAAGAATGTGACTATACTAGGAGTCAGTAAACTATGGCCCACCAGTCAGATCTGGTCCATGGTTTGTTTTTATAATGCCCATGAACTATGAATGTTTTACATTTTTAAAATGTAAAAATGTAGTTTTAAAATGTAAAAGTCCAGAGAATGAGAAGACGGGCCATGTAGTGGGAGAAGATATTTGCAAAAGACATAGCTGATAAAGGATTGGTATCCAAAACAGACAAAGAATTCTTAAAACTCAACAACAAGAAAACAGTCATATTGAAAACTGCAAAAGACCTAAACAGACACCTCACTGAAGAAAATATACAGATGGGAAGTAAGCATATGAAAAGAAGTTCAACTTCATATGTCATCAGAGAATTGAAAAATTAAAACAGTGAGATTGCACTACTACAGACCTACTAGAATGGTCAAATTCTACCACACTGACAACACCAATGCTGGCAAGGATGTGCAGCAGCAAGAACTCTCCTTCATTGCTGGTGGGAATGCAGAACCTTACAACCACTTGGAAGACAGTTTGGCTTATTTTATATACAGTGTAACTCTTACCATAGGATCTGGCAGTCACAATCAGTGGTACTTACTCAGATGAGCCAAAATTTATGTTCCCACAAAAACCTGCACAGGAGTATTTTTAACAGCATTATTCATAATTGTTAAAACTTGGAAGTAACCAAGATGTCCTTCAGTAGGTGAATGGATAAATAAACTGTTGTACCTCCAGACAATGGAATATTACTCAGCACTAAAATGAAAGGAGCTGTCAAGCCACGAAAAGGCATGGAGGAAACTTAAACGTGTCCTACTCATTGAAAGAAACCAATCTGAAAAAGGCTGCATATTATATGATTCCAACCATGCGACATTCTGGAAAAGAGGAAACTGGGGACAGTAAAAAGGATCAGAGGGGAAAGGAGGGATAAATAGGCAGAGCATAGATATTTTAGGGCAGTGAAGCTATTCTGTATGACGCTACAACATGTAGTTGTCCAAACATACAAAATAGAGGTTGGCAAGAGTAAGCCCTAATGTAAACTATGGACTTTGGGTGGTAATGAGGTAGCGATTGTATCAAATGTCCAACCGCAGGATGTAGATAGTGGGAGAGGCTGTGTATGTGTGTGTGCAGGGGCAACAGGAGTACATATGGGTTATCTTTTTGCACTTTTCTGCTAAGTTTTGCTGTGAACCTGAAACTACTTTCAAAAATAAAGCTTATTCTTTGATTTATTCTTTGATTTGTTTTGACATTTTCAAAATAGTTTTTGAAAATGTCAAAACAAATCAAAGATTAAAATGTGACAGAGACTGTATATGGCCTGTAAAGCCTAAAATACTATTTTTTTTAGGAGGGAGGGAGAGGCGCAGAGGGAGAGAGAGAGAACCTTAAGCAGGCTCCACACCCAGCGCAGAGTCTGATGTGGGGCTCGATCTCACAACCCTGAGTTCATGACCTGAGCCAAAAATCCAGAGTCAGACTGAGCCCCTCTGGTGCCCCAGTATTAATATTTATTATCTGGTCATTTACCAAAAAAGTTCATCAAGCCCTGGACTACTATCACAGAGGAACTAGGGGATGAGTTTCTCCTTCATGTCATGCCCAGTCTTCTAATTTTCCTGGGTGTCTCTAATGGCAGAGTTGTCCTCATTGAATTTCCATTTCATTTGCAGGTATATGAGTGACCTAAAGCTGCAAAGTAAAACGGAAAGAAAGCAGTGCCAACTGCGAGCAGGGCAAGGATGCCAATTCCTCCACCCCCTCCACCGCCCCCTGGTCCTCCTCCGCCTCCCACTTTTAATCAGGTAGGTAGTCTTCGCACCTGGGTATCTCAAAACCTTAATGGATAGGGCTTCATGGTGTAAGACGTACTGTACTCAAAGATACGTGGTGTAGAAACAGAATAAGTAAAGTCTCTCTTCATTAACTAGTTCTGATTTCTGAGAGGTACTCCTGGGACTTTAATGGCTTATCTTGTTTTCTTGGTCTGGTTCAGTCTAAATGGAGCTTTGGTCAGGTTACATCAGAGTAGGAACTAGTCTTTTGCCCCTAAAACTGTTTGTTCTATAAAGGTCAGTACAGCATTTCTCTGGCATCATTGAGGAAAGGGACGGCAAATCCTAGTGGTTGTTTCTTGCTACTGTTTCATCTCCTTCTCGTCTCCTCCAAACCAGTTCATCCTAAAGCCAAGTCTGTGAAGTCTACCAGCCCATCAAAAAAAAGAGTTCCTGGAAAATACTATTAAGAAGACTTAAAGGTTTAATAATGGGAGGGAAAAGCAGTGTGGCTTCTGAACCAAGGTGGCAACCACTTTTACTGTATGTGGATTGTGATATCTGGTGTCACATGAGAAAGAAGCAACCTGGGTGCTTTATCGCTCTATTTTTTTTTTTTTAAGATTTTACTTCATTTTATTTTTATTTATTTATTTAAGATTTTATTTATTTATTTAAGATTTTATTTATTTGTTTTGAGAGAGAGCGTAGGGGGAGGGGCAGATGGAGGCAGAGAATCTTAAGCAGACTATGCTGTGAGCACAGAGCCTGACACAGGGCTCGGTCTCGTGACTCTGAGCCAAAATCGAGCTGGGCAATTAACTGACAGAGCCACCCACGGACCCCTTAAGATTTTATTTATTTATTTGTTTGTTTGTTTTTAAAGATTTTATTTATTTATTTGACAGAGAACGAGAGAAGGAACACAAGCAGGGGGAGTGGGAGAGGGAGAAGCATGCTCCCCTCTGAGCAAGGAGCCTGATGCTGGACTCAATCTCAGGACCCTGGGATCATGACCTGAGCCGAAGGCAGACGCTTAACAACTGAGCCACCCAGATGCCCCTTAAGATTTTATTTTTAAGTAGTCTCTACACCCAAGTGGGGCTTGAACTCACACCCCAAGATCAAGAGTTGCATGCTTTACTGACTGAACCAACCAGATGCCCCTGCTTTATTCAGTTTTGTAAAATTTAGAAGTGAAAGGAACTTTAGGGAATGAATACCTTGGTGGGGGGAGGGGGGCGGGGGGATTGTTATTTAACAGATGAGAAGTACTGCCTTAAAGAGGAAAAGCGACTTGCCTAGCTAATTTATTTTAGAAGTTCAGGTCTGCCAACTTGGTTTTTTCTCTAAGTTCCTGTTTTTAGACATTTTGTTTGAGGATATATATGAACCCCCTTTCTGGATGAAATTTTATATGGAAGCCCAATAAGTGCAGTAGATAAAAGCAGAGCTGCTTTGGTTATAGTGGGATTCAAGGACCCAAAATATATCCATGGATCTCTTCTGATGATGCCCTGTATCATGCTGTCTTAGTCATTTACTCAGTAGCCTTTTGTTGGGGCTTACTATCAGAGACTTGATTAGGCATAGAACTTAGAAAATCCAGATAATTTTACTCTAAACTTTAATATTTCTCAAGTCTTTCCCAACAAGCTTTATTTATATAATTAAAGAGAGGCAAAACATGCAGATAAGAAAAAGAAGCAAATAAAAATAATCTGTAGTATCATTGCCCAGAAATGAGACCGTTTTGGCCTTCAAAGGCTTCTGGTGCAATGGGCGAGATAGACAAGTCAACAGGGAAATTCCATGCTATGCATGGAAATATATGAGGGAATAAATGAGGCCACAAAGAAGCATGCCTCAGTATTGTCTGGAGGGAGTGAAGGCAGTCAGAGAAGTCTTCGAGCTGTGAAGTGATACTTGAGCAGAGTTTTAAACTATATGAGTAGTGTTTAGCCAGAAGGAGAAGAGGGAGGGCAGGCACTTGGTATTGAGGAAGTAGAATGAAAGGGTACTGATTTGTGGGAAAGCATACCCAGGATTGGATCATTGCTTGAGAGGCCTGGTGGGAGATGAAGCCAGAGGCAAAGGCTGAGGGTTTTGGCTTTTCCTCCAGACAGTGATGGGAAGGTAGTGTATTTTCAGCAGCAGGAGTCACCTGACAGGGTGTGTGTTAGAAAGGTCATCCTTCACAGTGTGGAAGTGGTTTGGGGTTGAGGCTGGAGGCAGGGAAGTCAAGACTCACAGGTAGAAGCCTGTTACAGCTGAAAATCTGAGAGTTTGCACTAAGGCCATAAGGATGGGAGAGAGGTCTACAAGAGACACTTAGAAAGTAAAATCTTACAGAGTTGGTGACTGATGCAAGGAAGAGGAAGGAGGTTGGAACAACTGTAGTTTGGGAGATTGAATGATGGTGCCATTTACAAAGCGAGGTTTGTGGAGGAGGATGTGAACTCAATTTTAGAGATGTTGAATAATGTTTTAATAATTTTCTCTTTGCAAAAGTAATATATTCAAGAAATTTATGAACTATGGTTGGGGCACCTGTCTGGCTCATTCTGTAGAGCATGGGACTCTTGATCTCAAAGTTGTGAGTTTGAGTCCCGCAGTGGGCATAGAATTTACTTTAAAAAAAAAAAAAAAAAGCTTTATGAACTGTGGATTAGCATAAAGGAGCCAATTATCTGTAATCCTGCCATTCATAATAGTTTTGTGTATATCCTTCAGCTCCCTTCTTCCTTTTTTTTTTTAAAGGTTTTATTTACTTAATTAATTTATTTATTTGACAGAGACACAGCAAGAGAGGGAACAGCAGGAGGAGTGGGAGAGGGAGAAGCAGGCTTCTGACTAAGCCAGGAGCCTGATGCAGGGCTCCATCCCAGGACCCTGAGATCATGACCTGAGCTGAAGGCAGATACTTCATGACGGAGCCACCCAGGCGCCCCTCCTCCTTCCTTCCTTTTATCTCCTACTTTTTATAAAAAGGAGGCTGTGCCATATGTACCTACTGATTTTTTTTCTCCCCCTCCCCCCACCACCAGCACTGCTATGTTATGAGTTCTAATCTGCTCTTAGTTGTTAATACATCGTGAATGGCTTCTTACATCATTTTTACTGTACTAAAAATGTGTCAGAGATTAGAGAATGCCAATAAAAATAGAAAATATTAAGCTATTAATAATTAATCTTTATTAATATTTTATGTTTTACATATTTATTATAGGAAAACTAGAAAATTCAAATAAATACAAAGAATTACTACCCAAGGGGCACTTGGGTGGCTCAGTAGTTAAGCATCTGTCTTCAGCTCAGGTCATGACCCCAGGGTCCTGCGATTGAGCCCTACATCAGGCTCCCTGCTCAGCAGGAGGACTGCTGCTCCCTCTCCCACTCCCCCTGCTTGTGTTTCCTCTCTTGCTATCTCTCTCTCTGTCAAATAAGTAAAATCTTTAAAAAAGAAAAAAAAAAGAATTATTACCCCAAATTAACTTTTGTTGATATTAGCATATATCCTTCTGGAAACATTTGGTATGTATGTACCTTTTTTTCTTTCAGTACAACTACTGCTTATTGAGCACCAGGCACTGTGCTAAGTTCTTGAAAAGTGTTGTTTCATTTAATTTTCAAAACTACCCTGTGAGATAGGTTCTGTTTTAATCTTGTTAAATGTTTTGTTTTGTAATTTTTTTTACTTGATTGTGTCAAACATTTGCTATCTAAAGACACTTAACTTACACATCTTTAAGAGCTTAACTGGCATTCCCTTCTGTGCTTATGCCATCAGTATTCCTTTTGATTGATCTTTTATATTATTTTTAGATAGTTTTATGCTATTAATAACATCTTTGTGTACTTTTCTAGTTGTTTTCTTAAAGTTAATTCCTAGATAGAATTCTTGTGTAGACTTTTTAAAGTTTGATACAAGGGACGCCTGGGTGGATCAGTCAGTTAAGCCATCAGTCAGTTAAACCATCTCTTGGTTTCAGCTCAGGTCATGATCTCAGGGTGGTGAGATCCAGCCCCGTGTCGGGCTCTGCATTTGGTGTGGAGCCTGCTTAAGATACCTTCTCTCACTATCCTTCTGCCCCTCCCCGGGGTCTCTCTCAAAAGAAAAAGAAAAGGTGGAAGGAGGAAAAGGGTGTTTGATACATAAACTTCTTTCTGGAAAGATCATACTATTTACCTTCCTCTGGATAATACAAAAGAGTACCTGTTCCCCTGAATCCTTATGACCACCATAAGATAGTTATGTATTCTACACATTTTTTTTGAGTATCCCCCGTGTGCTAGGCAGCATACAATTGTCAGTGGACCCTGCCTTCATGAAGCTAAGCAGTCTCCTGTTACAATTCCAACTTTAGCCAGTTTCATTGGTAAATAATGATACTGTGTTTTAGCCTACATTTTTAATTTTTTTTCCGTATTTGCTGGCTTGAGGATTTCTTTTACACAGTGTTTATATCCTTTGGTTATTATCCTGTAGATTTATAAGTCATCTTTATGTTAATGCTGTATAGAGTTAGGACACTGACTTTGTGTGTCAGATGATTTTTTTCCTTCTAGTTTGTCATCTGCTTATTATATTCCTAAGTAAATAACTTAAAATAAATAAGTCTTCTAGTCTTTCCCTATATTTTAGTTGTCATGTCCTTCCCCTTACCTGCTTTTTTCATTTGGTTACTTCTTTGGGTTTTTTTTTGTTTTGTTTTGTTTTTGTTTTTTTGATGTTTACATTTTATAACTCAACTAGAATTTGAGAGTAAGCTATAAGGTAGGATTTAACTTGTGTTTTCTCCACAACTTAGCCAGTTGTTATTGGTAGCTTATATTTAATGATCTGTGCCTTCTGCACTGCTGAAATACTTTTATTATTTCTTTCTCTTCTTTTTAAGATTTTTTTAATTTATTCATTTGAAAGGGAGAGAGAGAGAGAACTAGTGACAACATAGGCAGAGGGGAGGGTCGGAGGGAGAGGGAGAAGAAGACTCCCTATTGAGCAGGGAGCCTGACACAGGCCTTGATCCCAGGACCCCGGGATCATGACCTGAGGCAAAGGCAGATGCTTCACTGACTGAACCAGCCAAGTACCCTCACTTTTATTATTTCTTATATAGATGTAGGTTTGTTTATGAACTTTGTGTTTTGTTCATTTATCTAGCTGTCTGGCCCTGTGCTCCTGTTATAGTTGGTCCTAGCTTTTGTTGGTACTAGTTCCATTCTCTTAGTTTTTCTACTATACTTAATCTTCCAGATGGATTTTAAGATCATTTTTTAATGGTTTCCAAAAAATTCCACTGTGTGGTTAATTTAAAAACCTCTACATTTAAAAATTGTGTAAGGTACACGGTATGATGTGTTACATTTTCAGTACATGTGGGATATTCACTTTGAGATGTCCTGTAGACATTGGCACATAGGGGTGTGAAACCCAGGGCCAGGAGTGGCGACGAGATGTAAAGATTGGAGATACTTGGGTTTTTCAGCGGTATTCAAGCCCTGTGACTGGTTGAGCTTGCTCAGGGAGATTTAGATGGAGGCTGAGGATAGGCATTTAAGAGGTAGGTGGAGGGCGAAGAACTCAAAAAGAGATATGATGTTGGAAGAGACCATAGGGTAAGTGGGAAAGGCATGGGCTTTGACACAATCAGAACAGCTCTGCATTTACTAATCATGTGACATTAAGTTTTCTAAACCTCCATTTCCTCATCTTTGGAATGAGGGTAATATGGGTTATTTTCTTTTATTTTACTTTATTTTTAAAATATTTTTATTTACTTATTTATTTGAGAGAGAGTTTGTGCATACAAGCAGGAGGAGGCGCAGAGGAAGAGGGACAAGCGGACTCCACACTGAGTGTGGAGCATGCCATGGGGCTTGATCTCACAACCCCGAGATCATGACCTGAGCTGAAACCAGGACTCGGACATCTAAGCCACTGAGCCACTCAGGCGCCCCAATATGGTCTACTTTGTAACATTGTTCAGGAGATAATAGGGAAGCAATGAGGTCTGTTAGTTGAGATAAGGTAGGCATTTTAGAGTCAACTGTCTGGGTTGGGATCCTTGCTTTACTGTTTACTGGGTGCATGGCCTTAGGACACTGTTCAACTATTTGCACTTTCCAAATGGGTAATGATGATAATACCTCTTTCATAAAAATATTTCAAGATTTAAATGAGATAATGGAAGTAATATGCTTAGCCTGAGGCCTAGCAGGGACTCAGTCAGTGTTTGCCTTCACACATGTAAAGCTTCTACCACAGAAGCCCCGCACACAGGTACTCAGTAGCTATTAGTTAAGGCCCCCCCCCCCGCTTTTTTTTAAAGAGAGTCGGGGTGGGGGGGTGGGGAGTATGGGGAGGGAGAGAGAAAATCCCACGCAGGCTCCACGCCCAGGGCCCGATGTAGGGCTTGATCTCATGACCCAAAGATCATGATCTGAGTTGAAATCAAGAGTTGGACCTTTAACTGACTGAGCCAGGCAGTGCTCCAGTTAAGGCCTCCTTTCAGAAGCTGTGGACTAGGAGAGAGACCTGAACCCTTCACAAAAGGCACAACAAAAAAAGGATGAAGAAGAATGAGAGCACACATTGGTACTGATACTTGGTGTAGGATCTGATTAGGTTAGAGGGGCATTAATGAAATCCAGCTTGGTTTAAGGTATTAATCCCAAGCTCCTAGTAAAGGGAACTATTTAGGATGAATAGTTACCTTCTCCCCTTTTCCTCTAGGCAAACACAGAGCAGCCCAAGCTGAGTAGAGATGAACAGCGGAATCGAGGTGCCCTTTTACAGGACATCTGCAAAGGGACCAAGCTGAAGAAAGTGACCAACATTAATGATCGGAGTGCTCCCATCCTTGAGAGTGAGTCTAACCTTCATTTCTTAGTGAGCCACCAGGACTGACACGGAGACTTGGCTGGCCTGTCATTTTTATTGTTGGGCCTTGAGTGGGAAAATTTTTTCTTTAGGAAAGTTTTCTTTGAATACCTTAGAGGTTTCTTTTTGACCTTTGGGATGTATTCTCTGGGGGAAGATTCCCAACTCCTGCTGTAATTAGTGCTCTCATCAGAGCACATCCTTGGCTGTTCTCTGAGGAGACCATCATGTTACTAAACCTCTAAGCTGAAGCTAGTGAAGATTTTATAATTGCCACAAGTGTCCATTCTGTTAGGCCTCTGGAGAGTTTGCTCATACCTGGATCCCTAAGTACCTGGCCCCCTTACCGTCTGGGTTTTGGAGAGGAGAGCCCAGAGAACTCTGATGAAGTTGTCTTGATCCTGGTTTTCTCTTTGCATTTTTAAATAAGGGAAGTGTGGTTCCTTGTTGCTTTTGTTTTTTCTGTTTCATCACAGTGAAGGGTTTCATCTCCACGTGAAGATGTGGAGCTGAGAGGCCTAGCCTTTTCTTCCTTCCTTCCTTCCTTTTTTTTTTTTTTTTATTATTTTTTTTTAATGCAAAAGCAAGATTGGTATGTTTGGAAATTAAAGCCCAAGTAGAGGAAGGGTTTCTCCTCAGGATTGACTTGGTCACCAGCTCCCAGCACGTGAAGTGAAAACCCTAATGGTATGCTTTCCAGAACCGAAAGGAAACAGTGGTGGTTATGGCTCTGGAGCAGCTGCCCTGCAGCCCAAGGGAGGTCTCTTCCAAGGGGGAGTGCCGAAGCTCCGACCTGTGGGAGCCAAGGATGTTTCAGGTATCTGATCAGTACTTTCTTAGGCTATTTCTCAAGTGTGTTAATTTCGGACTAGTCCCAAGTGAGTCATCTAGGGTTAAGGTATGTGGTAGAGGTGGGAGGAAGGAGAAGTAGAAGCAGGGGAGGAGTTACAGAGCAGAATAAAGCCAAAGCTGAGGAATTAAGGAAAAATGTGTTCAACTTGTATCAGCAGTATTTGTCAGTGGGCCCTGAGCCTAAAACCAGATTAAAATCCAGAACTCTACAGGCATTTAACCTGCTACCATGCAGGTGACACTAAAAAGGCTGGGCGAAGTAGAGGTACTAACATGTATCTAGCTCTGTTGATTGAGTGCTGTCTGGTGTATTTGTAGAGAACCTAGCTGGTAAGCCAGCCCTACAAATCCCCAGTTCTCGAGCTGCTGCCCCAAGGCCACCAGTGTCTACAGCCAGCGGGCGCCCTCAAGATGATACAGACAGCAACCGAGCCTCACTCCCGGAACTGCCCCGGATGCAGAGACCCTCGTTACCGGACCTCTCTCGGCCTAATACCACCAGCAGTACAGGCATGAAGCACAGCTCCTCTGCCCCTCCTCCACCACCCCCGGGGCGGCGTGCCAACGCACCCCCAACACCTCTGCCTGTGCACAGCAGCAAAGCCCCAGCCTACAACAGAGAGAAACCCTTGCCGCCCACACCTGGACAAAGGCTGCACCCTGGTCGCGAGGGACCTCCTGCTCCACCCCCAGTCAAACCACCTCCTTCCCCTGTGAATATCAGGACGGGACCAAGTGGCCAGTCTCTGGCTCCTCCTCCTCCTCCTTACCGCCAGCCTCCTGGGGTTCCCAATGGACCCTCCAGTCCCACTAATGAGTCAGCCCCTGAGCTGCCACAGAGACACAATTCTTTGCATAGGAAGACACCAGGGCCTGTCAGAGGCCTAGCGCCTCCTCCACCCACCTCAGCCTCTCCGTCACTACAGAGTAATAGACCACCTCCCCCAGCCCGGGACCCTCCCAGTCGGGGAGCAGGTAAGTGCCTGGAAGCACCTTTTTTCCCTCTTAGAGAATTGAGTTTATCTTCTCAGCCTTTTTTCCAAAGCCTGCCTTCAGCAATTGAAGAGAAGAATTCACTTACTCATTCAGCAGGTTTACTGATTGCCTTTTTGTGTGTCACACTCTGTTTTTAGGGAAACAGCAATCAATAGAAAAGACAGAAAGGTCCTGTTCTTTGGACAGTCAAGCAAATAATGCAGATGTAGGTATAGATATATAGATAAAGACATAGTATGTAGATGCTTTAGAGAAATCCAGAGCAGAGGAGAGGAACAGGATATACAGGGGTGTGGAGGGTGGTCGTGGTATTTTCTGTTGCAGGGGTGGGGTGAGAGGAGGGTTAGGGAAGGCCTGACTGATAAGGTAACAATCAGGGAAGACCTGAAGAGAGTGTCCGAGTGGGCTAAGTAGTAATCTGGGAGAACAGCTATTGTAGACATTGGGAACAGCAAATACAAAAGCCCTGAGACTGGGGACAGCAGGACTGGAATGAGTGAGGGGGGAAGAGTGGCAGGAAATGGAAGTCAGGAAGCTAGATTTCCACAGGAGAACACTGTAGGACTTTGTCAAGATTGGCATTTACTTAGATGCTGAGCCACTGGAGGCATTGAAAGAAACTTTGCGTAGCTCTTTAAAGGATGACAAACTTGGGGTGCCTGGGTGGCTCAGTCAGTTAAGCATCTGCGTTTGGCTCAGGTCATGATCCCAGGGTCCTGGGATCGAGCCCCACTGGACTCCCTCTCCCTCTGCTGCTCCCCCTGCTTGTACTCTCTCTCTCTGTCAAATAAATAAGATCTTTAAAAAAAAAAAAAAGGATGACAAACTCCTATGTTGAAAACAGACTGCACAGGGACAGAGGTGGCAAGGGAGACCGCTTAGGAGGCTGTTGCAGTCAACCAAGGAAATATGTAGGACCGCAGCAGGTTTGGGGAAAGAAGACAGGTGTTTGCTTTGAAACAAGTCAAGTTTGACATACCTGTTAGCCAAACACCAATTCATTATTTTCTTTTGGATGTCTGTCAGACCCTGAAGTTGAGGAGAAAAGTCTGGGCTAGAGAAATTTGATACTGAAGACCGTATGCTGGATGAGCTCACCTAGGGAGTGAAGAGGATGAGGCCTTTATATTAGAGCTCAGAGAAATGGAGAGTAGCAAGCAGGGGAAGCTAAGAGCCCCTAGTGAGGAAGAAAGAAAATAAGAGGATGCTGGAAGGATGCCAAGATCAAGTGATCAGCTGTCTCCAAGACTGAAAACTGAGAATGACAGTGATCTTAGCAACATGGAGTCCTTTAGGGGAACCCCCAAACAACATGATATCCTTTTGGTAGTTTCAGTGGAGTGGTGGAGGATGAGGGTGAAAGTCTAATGACATGTGGTTGGGAACTTGGGGATAGGAGGAGAGGAATTGGAGATAGCAATGTAGAAGTCTCTGAGTTTACTTAAAGGGGAGCGGGGGTGGGGGTGCAGATAAATGGAATGGGTGCTGCAGGAGAATGTGGGATTGAGGGTTGGGATCCCTCCTCTCCAAGATGGGAGATATTTCAGCATCTCTTTGTACACTGAGGAAATGATACAATATAAAGGGGGGGAAATTGCCTGAGTTATATTCCCTAGAAGGCTAAAAGGAATGGAATATTATTCCTAGGTAAGGGGTTGACCTTAGATAAGAAGAGAGGTAATTCTTCCATGGTAACAGGAAGGAAGGCAGAGTGCATAGGCATAGGTGCATGTGGGTGGGTGGGCATAGTGGTAGGAGCATGTGCAAAGTTTCTTCGTTTTTTTTTCTTTTTCTTTTCTTTCCCCTCCCTCCCTCCCTCCCTCCCTTCCTTCTTTCCTTCCCTCCTTCCTTCCTTGCTATATTTATTCATTTGAGACAGAGAGAGAGAGAGAACAAGCAGGGAGGGAAGGGCAGAGGGAGAAGCAGGGTCCCTGCTGAACAGGGAGGCTGGACATGGGGCTCTATCCTAGGACCCTGGGATCATGACCTGAGCCAAAGGCAGGTGCTTAACCAACTGAGCCACCCAGGCGCCTCTTCTGGTTTGTTCCTTATTGGTGAAATAGAAAGCAAGGACATCTGTTAATGAGGGGAGGAAAGGAGAGGGGCATGAAGTGGTCCTTTGGGAGTGTGGGAGAGTGAAGAGGGTGTGGAGGTGTGCTGGGCTAACCAACAGCATGAAAGGCCCACTCAGGATTAGGATCCGTATGTTCAAAGTGAGATTCGCGCAGTGTGTGTTCTATATGTGTCTGTTTGCAGGTACTGCAATGTATGTATGTTTGCCGGGTGCTGAGTAGGGACAGCATGGTATTTAACCAGGGTTTACCTTTTTTAGACAAGTGGGTCACTAAGGGAGAGTGGGGCAGGGGTGCTAAGGGTGTAGGTCAGGGAGTGATTGTAACAGTGGACCATGAGCCTAAACTGAGTGAAGAGGGGAATAAGGAGAAGTAAAAAGTAGAAGTAAAAAGTAGAAAAAGTAGAAGAGGTTGTGTAATCTTTACAAAATAGCATGACTGAAGGTAGAGAGTTAGGGAGACCATGAAGCTCTCTGGAACCTTCTTAGACCCAGGAATTTTGGCTCTCATGGCCTCTTGTATCATTGCCACATCCTCTACAAATGGCTTTTGAGCTTTTAAACAGTCCTTGCAGGTTTGAATCATTAAGAAATTAAGTCAGTAGGAAGCACATGTTGAAAGCCCATTAACCTGCGCTGCTGCTTGGTGAAGTACTTGGGGGTTTGTGTTCTAGGAGCTGGCAGTCCAGCATACGGCAGTCGTCAGGTGACCTGGTACTTTTCCTGAGCCCTTGTCTCCCTGGCTTTAGCCATAAGAACCCTAGTCCTGAGGTGGCCTTTGCTTCTGTAAAGTTTAGGTTAAAAATTATTTAACTTAGGGATTTTTTTTTTAAGATTTTATTTATTCATTTGTCAGAGCAAGAGCACAAGCAGGGGGAGTGGCAGACAGAGGGAGAAGCAGGCTCCCTACTAAGGAAAGAGACCAATGCTGGGCTTGATCCCAGGACTCCAGGATCATAACCTGAACCAAAGGCAGACACTTAACCAACTGAGCCACCCAGGCAACCCAAGGATTTTTTTTTTAAAGACTCATTATCAAAACAGAACCCATATCTTTCTAACCCTATCCAAGGAATAGAGTGGGGGGAAAATGTAATTTCTGTGGGTTTAACTGAGTAGTTTTATTTATTTATTTATTTGACAGAGATCACAAGTAGGCAGATAGAGAAGGGGAATCAGGCTCCCCTCCGAGCAGAGAGCCCGATGTGGGGCTCCATCCCAGGACCCTGGGATCATGACCTGAGCCAAAGGCAGAGGCTTAACCCACTGAGCCATCCAGGCACCCCTATTTTTCTTTAATTAAATAATTTATTATTATTATTATTATTATTTTAAACTAAGCTATAGGCCTAATATGGGGCTTGTGAGTAGCAGCAGTTCTTAGAGTGATAGCACTGAGAGAAAACTGAGATATTTTAAGCAGAGATCTTGTCAGTATTGGCTCTCTGACTTTGGGCATATAGCTCTGATTCTCTGAGTTTCCCTCATGTGTTCGTAGAACCTTCAGTTGTGACTGTAAATAAAAGTATGTATGAAAGTGCTTTGTAAACTGTAGTATGCTGATAACTGTTAGTGGTTTTATGCAAAGGTTTCCATGTAGTTCGTGGATTATCTCTTATTAAACCATATTATAGGGGCGCCTGGGTGGCTCAGTGGGTTAAAGCCTCTGCCTTTGGCTCAGGTCATGATCCCAGGGTTCATAAATAAATAAATAAATAAATAAAATAAAATAAAAAAAAACCAGAAACCATATTGTAACAATATTACATGATAATACACTTTTGTTTCTATATTAATTATTTATATTTGAAAAAGTGTGGAGTCCTTTTGTCTTCCCAGGGTGCTTAGGGATCAATTTTATTGGTACATAGGGTTTCTGAATTTTTTCTTTGCAGAGTAAAAAACACTATTTTTAAGAGTTTTTTTTTTTTTTTTTTTTTTTAAAGAATTGATACCATCATGCTCAAAATTGGGTTTACCTAGGTTTACAAAAGGTGATCTCCCACCCCAGGTTTCTTTTACAAACTGCTTCTTTCTTATGGTCCTTGGGTTCCAGCTCTGTCACCTGAAACGGTCTTAAAACTATATGTGACAAAGAGCCCAGAAACTTACTGGAGATGGCAGAACCTTGGGACAAGCATCCCTGGGGGAGGGCCATGAAGGAGCAAGCAGGTTGCTCTTGGTCCTGCTCTGTTTGGCCAGTCTGGTTTGGCTCTAATCACTGCCACCTGTCCAGTGTCTAGCTGGTATCCTTTTGAGCCTAGCTAACCGTGGCTGTCTTATACTCCCTGGCCCTCCCCTAGAATACAGACTCTCAGGGTCCTGAGAAATCTGGGTTTTAGGGAAATATTTTGAAGGTGACCTGAAAGAGCTTTGGTTTGGGCAAATTTGGGATGAAATCAAGGTTTGGAGATCTGTGAAGTTACTGCTTCCAGTAACACCTGTTCATACTTTAAACCTTGAAAAGAGTGAAGGAGACATTCAGAGTTCATCTTAGGGGAACCAAAAACTAACATTTACTGGGCCTACAGTGCTGGTCCCCTTGTCTACATAAATCATCCCATTACTGTTTGATTCATAACTGTGGTCACTCTACAGAAATTCCAGCAGTAATTTAGGAGGGATAAGAAGATACACTCTTGGGGGCCTGGGTGGCTCAGTTGGTTAGGCAACTGCCTTTGGCTCAGGTCATGATCCAGAGTCTTGGGATCAAGTCCCACATTGGGCTTCCAGCTCCACCGTGAGTCTGCTTCTCCCTCTGACTTTCTCTCCTCTCATGCTCTCTCTCCCTCTCTCTCTCTCCTATAAATGAATAAAACCTTAAAAAAAAAAAAAAAGATACACTCTTGGGCACCTCGCTGGCTCATTCAGTAGAGCATGTGACTCTTAATGTCAGGGTCATGGATTCAAGCCCCACGATGGGTGTAGAGTGTACTTATAAAAAGAAGAAGGTGATAGATGATGCACCCTTTATCACTAAACCAGTGTTGTCTGTTAAGCCAAGTAGTCTCTCCTGTATTATTTGGGAAACAGCTACTTATGGGACGTGGCAGTACTTCTGTCTGTGGGTTATACATTTGGGGGGAAGTTAATATAGTACTTGGGATAGTTATGAAAAGCAGTGTGGGCATAGTAGAAAGAGCAGATGTGTGCTGAGTCTGTTAGATCTGTGACCTCATATAAACAACCTGAGTCCCAGTTTCCTCATTTGTGAAGTGGGGATAATACCACATACTGTTTGCGATCTCTGTCAAATAAATAAATAAAATCTTTAAAATAATAAAAGAGAAATGAGATGTGAACATCATATAATATTTATGGGTCTATCTGGTTAGAAACTGCGTTTGGAGGCATTTCCCAAAGAGGCATTCCCAGTTTTGTTTTGTTTTGTTTTTAAAGATTTTATTTATTTATTTGACAGAGAGCAAGCACAGAGGAAATGGCAGAGGGAGAGGAAGAAGCAGGCTCCCGTTGAGCACAGAGCCCGATGTGGGGCTCGATTCCAGGACCCCGGGACCATGACCTGAGCTGAAGGCAGAGACCTAACCCTCTGAGCCACCCAGGCAACCCCTTTCCCAGTTTTTTTTGAGCAATGAGCCTATCATTGGAGATAATGCAACTTCTGCAGATGAACCTACTGTACATATTTTGAGAATCACTCATTTTAGTCTGTACTACTGCATGCTAGAATAAGTGACACAGCCTCTAAATGTTGTTGGAGAACAAAAAAGGAGGGAATTAGAAGAGAGTGCATTGCTTTAGGAAAGCCTGGAAAAGATGGGCTTGAGTCGAATCTTAAAGGAGAGGTAGGGCTTGGTAGTAAGTGAAGAGGGATGGCATTTCCGCGTCTTTTGGGGGAGTCACAAGAGCAAAGCATATATGGTTTAGTTTAATCAGCACATGATTGTGTGCCTGCTGTCTGCTGTATATTTGGCTGAGCTTGGGAAGTCGGATGAGTGGACACTGCCCTGACTTAGTGTGCTGGGGAAGAGGCACATAACATGAAAAATTATGATACAATATGATAGTGTGGTAGAGAGATACAGGGGCGACAGTGGGATTCTCAGCCTAGGGAATCAAGCAAGGAAGAGGGGAAGGTGAGATCAGGCTGCCTGGCATGGTAAATTGCTGTGTAAGAAAGGAGGATGATGGGGTGTGGCGCAGTTGGGGTAGAAGCCAAGGATTTGAAACTTCATGATAAAGGAAATGCAAAGCCCTTGGAAGAGTTTGAGCAAGTATTTTGGAGGAGATTAGTGAGTTGGTATGCAGAATGGATTGGAATGGCACGAGATGAGAGAGAACATTTGGGAAGCTTTGTGCAGTAGAACAGGCTAAATATGAGAAAGCTTGAATTAGGATTGTGGAGGAAGGCAGGGAAAAGATCAAGAGCAGGCAGAATTCTTGATTGACTTGTCACAGAAAATGAAAAGGGTCACACATTTATTCTGGACTTTGGGATCTAGAAGAATGTTCCCGCTATTGAATAGGAGTGAGAGGAGGGTGAATTTGGATACCTGACATGCTGCCCAGAGGCTCCCGGAGCCCGGCTCCTTGGGAAGACGCCAAGGCACTCCTAGTATACGTCTCTCAAATTCCCCCACCCCTCACCATCTCTGTATCTCAGCCTAACTGCTTTGGATTTTCCTTGCAGCTCCTCCACCCCCGCCACCCATGATCCGAAATGGTGCCAGGGATGCTCCCCCTCCCCCACCACCGTACCGAATGCATGGGTCAGAACCCTTGAGCCGAGGAAAGCCCCCACCTCCTCCCTCAAGGACGCCAGCTGGGCCACCCCCTCCTCCTCCACCACCCCTGAGGAATGGCCACAGAGATTCTATTACCACTGTCCGATCTTTCTTGGGTGAGTAATAGCTGGGTAACAGTAATCGCTGTTTCAGTCTCATAGTTCCTGTGGTGACTTCACTAATTCCAGTGGCCACTCTAGAGCGGGAATGGTCACTAGGTATCCTTTGTTCACAACAGTTCCTCTCCTCACTGCCCCTCAGACTTCTGGGTCCCCTCCATTGACTTCCCTTGCCTTATATGAATTCTAGGTATGATTGCTTTAGAAGAGATGGAAGTAAAATCGGTAGGTGTTGTGCTAATAGCCCCAAAGCTACTCTCTTGCTCCCCAAGGATCATTTGTGGTTAGCTTTTGGGTCAGAGACTAGCCTTTTCAGGATTATTCAGACAGGAATGATGTATCTTCCTAGGAAGGAGAGGGCCTTTCTGGACCTTTAAAAAAATAACAACAAAAACCCGTGGTACACAACATTAATAATATAGAGCCACGATCTAGCAGTGCTCCTTTGAGGAAGTTACTTCACTTCTCTGGGCCTCACTTCCCTCGGTTGGTGAGATCAGGAGTGTATCAGATTTAACTTTTTCAAGGTCATAAATGAGTCTCCAGCCTCACCTTAGAGATTCTGATTCATTGATCTTAAGATGGAGCCCCAAGCAAAGGTTGTCCATAGGGTTTCCTCAGATCCTCTGTTAAGGAAAAGATCTGTACAGTGTCCTTCAAACCTGACACTCTAGATTCTTGAATCATTGCCTCTTCTCCGCCCCCAGTCTCGTTCTGTTCCTAACTGGTTGACCAGGGTTTTTGGAATGTGTTTGAGCCACACCAATTGAAAAATCTGAGCCACCTTCTAGAGGGGCCATGGAAAGAGGGAGCGGAGGCCATGAGATGGCTGTCCCAGCTCTGTGGTAGAGCTAAATGAGGGTAACCTGGGCCCTAGGGGAATTATCTGGTCAGATCTCTCACTAAGCTGGTGACAGAAATTCCCATTTTAAGTTAATGTCTACCAATCTGTGGATTCAGTTCAGTTGGTTTCCCATGGTGACAGCCTCTAACATGTCTTTTAACTGAAACAGAACTGTATTTCCTTCTCTTCCCGTGCAAACAGCTGGGCTCCTTTCCTGTTAAGTGCCTGATTTTTGGTGGAAAGATTTAAAGAACTAATTCAAAGACTCATTCCTTAATGTAAAGAGCCTCTGAGCATATCCTCTGTGCATGCAAAGTGCATAGAAAGATGCTGTTGCTGGCCCCAGGAACCTCAGTTTAGTGGGCCAGGCAGGCCCTTGTGGTCCATCAGAATTCGAGGGAGATCAGCAAGGGGTGGAGGTCAGAAGTGGTACAAAATATGTGGGAGCACAAGAAAGGAGGAATTGACTTAATATTCTGTTCCTTTCCCAGATGATTTTGAGTCAAAGTATTCTTTCCATCCAGTAGAAGACTTTCCTGCTCCAGAAGAATATAAACACTTTCAGAGAATATATCCCAGCAAAACAAACCGAGGTGAGAAGAGTAGTCAATGAAAGTTTTTCCATAATTCTATAGGAAGTAGAATTGGTCATTTTTTCTTAGATTTAAATTTGCTTCTCCTCATTTGCATTTTCTTAAGAAAACAAGGGAACAACAGAACCAGTCCCTAAATTTTAAAGGTTAGCTTAAAGAACCTGTCCCTCATGTCAGCAATGTTCAGGTTATTCAGGGTTTGGTGGTTGACCTTATGTATGTGGTTTTTATTTTTATATTTTTCAGCTGCCCGTGGAGCCCCACCTCTGCCGCCCATTCTCAGGTGAAGCCTGGCTTGGTCCTGTTCCTCAGGAAAAGGATGGACCCTCTCCTCTGCTCAGATGGTCCCTTCCATTCCCCTGAAACCTGCATGAGAGCTCCTGACGTGTTTCTCCAGTGCAACCCATCTCTAGACACCAAGCGTCCTCCCCACTCACCTCCATCTATGCATCTCGTCTCTAGACTTGGTGATTGGACTCTTAAGACAGTAGGGTCTCAAACCCTGCATCCATCCCTCCTCTTGCAAGCCCTGCTAGCCAGATGAGGAAAACGCTTCCATGTCTCCTGCCTTCCTCTTGGGGAAAGGTGCCTTGTTATGATGAATGAACTCATTGTTGGGGCAGGGTGGAGTATTGTACTCCTACTTTCTCCTACCCACTGTGGGGGAAGCGTGACGGTTGTATTATATTTCCTCATTTAGGAGGCTGGCGTGGCCAGGACTTCTGGGGGGTGGGCATTTTTAGTGAAACAGGAAAGGAATTTGCAGAGAAGTGATCTGTTTTAAAGGTCAAGTTTGAAGAAAAGGCAAAGAAATGGGTCTGCTTTCTGTTTAGGGGTATTTTGGTTTTGCTCTCACCCCACCCCATGCCACCACCCCAGGGAGAAGTTGGATATTATAAACACTAAATACTAACCAGTTGAACTAAACATCTAATAAAAAGAGAGGGTGAAATAAACTGGGGATCCTTTTAGAGCTAGTCAGTTTCTCTGCAGCAAAGGGGCCAGGAGCCATTTGTGTCCTCTGGGACTCCCTGCCCATTTGCCTGTTTCCTCAGGGTGCTGAGGCTGAGGGCTGTTATTCCTCTCAGCACTGCCCATCCCCTCAAGAGACAAGTCACTTTGATTCATTACAGATTCACAAACTCCAAAAACCTGCAGTGGGAGATGGAAAGATAGAGTGTTGGCCTTGACACCAATTAAGTCTTTTCTGACTGGCCCTGGAGGCCTGCTCAGAGACTTTAGCCCCTGATGGGTGCCCCAGGATGACAAGGGAAGGTGAAGCACCTCGTGGAAGGGTCAACTCTGTGGGTTATGAAGGACTTTAAGGCCCACTTGTTCCAAAGTTCACAGCCCATCTGACTTAGCAGGTACTTCTGTTCCTTTCTCCACTACTCTTGCCTCTGCAAGACTGCAGGGGTTAATATAGCAGAATAGAGAAGGGTGAGGAAGGTTATGGGGACAGCCAGATTCCTCTGTGCCAGGAAGCACAGACTTTGGTGAAGTGTGCCTCAGTCCAGTTGATCTTCCTTGGCAGCCAGCAATATGTTTTTTCGTCTTCCGGGTCCTAGTTCAAGGATGCAGGGGAAATAGAGGGTCCCAGTCTAGGAAGAAACTGATGGGATGTCAGTTTCATCCTAGACTGTCAGTGGGATGGGACTTCACCATTCTCTCACAGCAGGATGGAGCTCCTGGGCTCTGCATATGGATGGTTTGGTTTGCTACAACTCTTGCCGAGTGCAGAGATTGCTCAAAGCTTGGAGTGAGAGCAGGGGAGGAGCCAAGGCTATTCCTTGAAGTGGATGGGGAAAGCCAAATAACAATTTTCACCAGGTACATCACAGGCTTAAATTGCCTTTGGGACCTCTCCAGTCTGTTGGATCACAGACTAAGGATCTGTGCATGGTGCCCAGAGAAACCCAAGTCTTCCCGTGCAGGTGGGAGAGCTCTCAGCTTGGGTTCTTTATTCAGGGTCTGCTATCCTTTGCCATTCCCTGGACTACATTGACTCTTGGGACAAACCATGATGAGGTCTGTCCCCAAACCTTTTCTAATCATTCTCTTTATCGTTTTTATTTTCAAATCTGTTAGCAGTTATCTCTCAGCAGTATCCCCAGCATTCTGAAGCCAGTAGTGCTGAGACAGGGCACGAGTGGAGGGAAAAAGAATACAAGAGTTAACCCTGCAGCAGAGTTCCAGGGGAGATGCTGACCAGTTAGTGAACTTGGACTGTGAAGTCCTCCCATTTGTTTTTGAAATGGGAGTTGATGCCTTTTGTATAATATTATCAAAGTATATCCTTTTCTTTTCCCCCTTTACTCAAACATAGAGCATCAAAATAAGTATCACAAGTAAAAGCCAAACCCCAGCTTTTCATTGGGGCTGATATCTTCCTCCTCTGTGACCTGCTGCCTCTCTTACTCCCCAGCATTTGGACTGTGTCACATAGGTATTGATAGTATTCTCATTTTCTTGGCCTCATGAAAAAATGCCTGGGCCTAGATCTAATCAGAGGGATTTTCTTCTTGAGAGCATGTTGATGGCACAGTACCTATTAAATGTCTTTGCCTTATTGTCCCTCTGTTAATAACAGATTTATTATCATGTATATTTACTATTGAAGAATGGGAATGTGATCCTCATAGTTATTGATCTATTTTGTATGTTGTAAAAAGCTTGTACTATAGATTTAAGGTGGGCTGGCTGCAAGAGCACTAAAACTTCTCACCTTTTAGCCTGCTCTTCTTACCTGCTTGTGGGAGTACTGTCTCTTCAGTGGGAGATGGGGTGGTCTCATGTTGAGACTCTTGCCCAGTCCCCTAAACCCCCTTAATTCCCTCCCAGAAGGAAGAGACATTGCCCAACTAAGCATCAGGAAGCTGTGTTATAAGCCTCTGTGTGGGTTTGGTTTTGTTTTTCTCTAGTGGGAAAAACTTAATTGTTTCTTTCCACCCTTTCTGGGAAGCAGAGCAGTGGCTTCCAGGTTTTTAAACGAGCTATATGCCCCTCTTCCCCCCTCTTCTTTGGTCACCAAAAATCATTTTGATATTCCAGGTGTGGTTTTTCTGGTTTTGGGGATTTCCTCCAGCTGCAAAGCCCCATCATCCTCACGGCCTGGGCTCCCAGAGTGAGGGTGCTTAGGGCTACCCCACCTGATGGATGTGAGACTACTTGTCTCCAGAAATGCATCCCAGCCCTCCCAACTGGCCAAGGCAAGGAGACTAGCCACTGGCCATTGCACTGGGGGCATCCCCTTACCCCACAGCTTCCCAACTTGAAATCCAGATTTACCTCCAGGGAGAGGTGAGAAAAAATTGTAAATAGACTTGCTACAGAGCAACTCAGGGTTGGGGTGTGTTTTAATTCTCCTGATCACTTGAAATAATCTGTAGGCTGAGTGCTTATGGGAGTGGGGGAAAAATGTGACTCCAGGGTCCTTTCCTTCTGCAGTGCTCTGGGGGTGGAGTATAGGGCACCTGAGGCCCTTTGATGGCACTACACTGAGCTGTCTGTCCTTCTGGAAACCCAATCTACAGTCAACTGCAAATCCAATTCTTCACATTCCAGTTGTAGCCTTTCTTTCCCTACTGAATCTCAGTCCCTGGCAATGTGGTCAAGGTGGCTTTCTGTAAGCCGCCCTGATTTAGGGAATGGAAGGCATTACAACTCTGCCTTCAAGACTCATCTCTTAAAAGCAAAATGAAACAAAACTACAGCCACCTTCCAAACACATAAAAAAATTTGAGGGATTAATTGTTAAGCTGAAGGAAGGATTTGGTTCCATTCAACTCCACGGTCATTGTGCCTTTACTTGGGTTAGATTTCTGTGCTTTCTTCCTCTCTCTCTTTGAAGCAATTAAAATCTTCCTTGATAACTATTTCCTTCTTTCTACTCTTGTTTCTAACACCTTAGTGGGTTTCCTCTCTAATTGTCTTAAATCTCATTCCACTGGTGGCAGAGGGGCCAAGCCTTCTTTTCTCATGTCTAACCTTTGTCCTTTCCCACGGGACCAGCATGGAAGTCCTAGTCAACACTGAATAAAAGACTAGAGTGATGTGTGCAGTGTGTGTGTGTGTGTGTGTGTGTCCATCTTTGCATGTGGATCAGTTTATTTTCTTTAAAAAAAATAATTTATTGTATGATTTATTTTGGAGATATATTCCAATTGCAGTGCTCCCTCCTAATAAGCAGTAATTCCTCCACCCCCCACCCCTCTATAATGTATAATCTGGTCTCAGGTTGGATTCTTTGGTACACTTCTTTCTTCTGGAAGCCGTGCAGTTTAATTAAACCTTGCTTAAAAACAAAAACAAACACCTGAAAACTGTGTACTCTTGTCTGGAACACTGCCTCCAATGGTGGCATAGGGAGCGGAGAACATTTGTTGCTTCTGGTGAGTGTGGTGGTTTGACTCTAGAACCTCTAAGAAGGTAGCTACACTGACTTGGGCAGAAGCATCTGCAGCTTCCCAGGGGTCTTCCCTCCTCCCTTCCTGCTGTATTTTGAATATCACAGTTCTCGTTACCCATGCTCACCTGGGTGACTCTGGTAGTTCTGGTCATCATTTACGTTTGCCATCTTACCTTCCTGATGCCCATGATTTCAGGGGACCCAGGAGGCACTCTGGCCTTGTGTCCTCTCCTTACATCTCTTAGGATTCTTTCTACCTGTGTTGCATGGCAGATTGTCCCACTGAGGTGTGGAAGAAAAGGGTGGGGACAGCAGATGGACTGTATGTGTCTATTGTTATCGTGGGTGTTGGCTTTTTTTCTTCCCTGCTTTTTACGTTGCAATCTTGGCTGGCTTTCTTGAACTTTGACTTGGGGTGTGAAAAATGAACCAGACATTCTCTGCTTACTGTGGTCAGCTGACATAATCACCACTAAGACTTAATGAGCTCACCTTGTGCTTTCATCGCTAGGAAAGATTTTGAAATTATTTCCCATACTGATTCATAATGAGTGTGTGTATGAATCACTTTCACATAATTTAGATATAAAAACTTAGGGAGGGGGGAAAGGCCTCCTTTCATTTTCATCCATACTTCCCAGATTGGCTGAATCCCTGATTATTTGACCCATCATTGTTATTAATATGATTAATAAACTACCTATTTATTGATTTAATTGTTCCTCCTGTGACTTTAGCCCTCAAGTGGAGCTTGCCTGAATGACCCTCAATTTCCTAAACCTGTAAGATTTCTCTGTCCTGTTGGGGTGATACTGCTAGTCTCTGCGTGTGTGTGTGCATGCATTTGTGCACACATACACAAAAGGATATTGGACAGGCCCTTCCATTGTGATTTGATTCCTTCCCTCATGATACTGTGTATCAGTTAGCAGGTGATAAGGACACTAGTCTCATTATTACTGAGACACAGCTGCTTACTGTGAATGTTCCCGTTTTAAGTATTTCCTGGCCCAGCACAGGCACAAACTGACTTGCTACAAGGATGGGGCCTGTCTCTGACTTACAGTTACTCTGCAGACAGAGGTAAGCGAACTAAAATGTCAACCTCAGGATCCTAACCACCCCAGAAGATAACTACAGAGAAACGCTTCACATCTGACATCATTGAAGCCCAGTCTGTATCGCTTTTACACGTCATCAAATTCATTTTCCACTCCTAGGTTTAGGGGTGTGAGATTTAAAAGACTATATGCTATCCAGCCACAAAGTGTTCATGGAAAAGGTGGAAATTCATTTGGCAGGGTTGTCCTCTCCATTTCTGCAGCAAGCATTTATTGCCCAATTCACTCTGTGCCCCAGGCATCTGTTATATGAAGATGAATAGGACTGGTCTTTGCCTCCAAGGAGCTGAGAGTCTAGTAGAACACTCCAGGACAGCCACCAAGAGAAACCTATGTAGGTTATTAAAAGGCTTAATGGCACTTAGCCAGGGAAGGTGGATGGGGTGTGGCATTCCAGACAGAGGAAACAGCAAGGACAGAGGCCAAGAAGCAAGATAGTCCCCTGGCATGTGCAGCATGTTCCTGTAGTATCAGAAAGGGAGAGCATCGTGTAGGTAACCTGGTAGAGACCCCTTCAATCCAGACCTTCTGTGATTCTCTGCCTGCTTCCACAGTGGTCATCTAATCCTGTAGGCTTACCTTGGACCGGTGCTTTTCTTCTGGTGAGTGTTTTCATAGGCTCCAGGATGAATACTAAGTACTCATTGCTTCCTGGGCTCCCTCTAGCCCACTGTAACCAAGGGAGGTTTTCACCACTATCCCTTAAAGCTGGCTGGACACATGTTACCACTTCAAGTTATTAAGGATGGTTTTTAGGTGCCCAGGTTATCAAAATACATGAACAGTAAAGATTGCTTCCTGGGTTCTTGTTGCTCTATTAAGAGCTCAGAAATGCCATCTGGTCTAAAAACCTCCATTCTCTGGGAACATTCTTCCCATTCATGACTGTGAATGCTGATCTCTATTGTAGATTTAAGCTCCTAGAGAACCTTCCCAAAATGTGCTCCCTTAATATCTCTTCCTATTTATTTATTTATTTATTTATTTTTAAAGCTTTACTTATTTAAGTGATCTCTATACCCAATATGATGCTCAAACACACAACCCCAAGATCAAGAGTCGAATGCTCTTCTGACCGAGC